GTATGGGTGCCAACTTGAAATCCCTAGCTAGGGAAGGGCTCAGTGGAAGAAGCACTTGTTTGCAAGCTTGAGGACCTGAGTTCAAATCTCCAGCACCCACATAAAAAGTCAAGCATGTCTGCCTGTGCCTGTGACTTCAGCAGTAGGGAGAAGAAACAGGCAGCTACCAAGGGCTCACTGGCAAGGCAGATTAGCCAGAACAATGAGTTTCAGGGTCAGAAGAGAGACCATGTCTCAAGGAAACAAAGCAAAAAGCAACAGATACCCAATGTCTTGCTCTGGCCTTCTGCATGTGAGCATGGATGTGGAGAAAGCTTGGAAATACAACAAAGAATCAACTAAAAAGCAGGCTAGGTGTCCCATGATCATGGCTGGCCTCTACGAACCGACAATTCAATAGAAGAGTCTGTATGAAATCTTAAGAGGAATGTCAAGGTCTTACTAAATAAATTTGCCTAGAATTCTCATATTGCTGTCATCCTCTCAACCTGCTAGAGTGAACTAATAGCAAAGACCATTTATCCAGCTTATTGAAAATTAATTACTTATGTGACCCAGGTTTGCAAAGGGGAAATAAAAAGGTAATGGAGAGGCAGCAAGAGACAGAAACCTGTCTGCCAAATTTTCCTCTCTTCACATTTTCTAAAGAGCACTGTATTGCTTGATAGAGAGCTGAAAAAATACCTATTCGGTCTACACCTTATTCAGTTTTGCAATGTATTGTTTCTATAACATGTTGGGAAGCCCCAGTTTTCTAGTTACTCAGCTGAACAAAATCAAGTCATCAACAGTGAAATATGGGGATGTTTCAGACAGTGACATGATTGAGGGAGCCAGATGAACAGATAAAAAGTCTGTCATTAAAAGCTGTTTGCTTGAGAAATTAATATTTATGTTCTTTCAGTTTCTTTATGAGAAGGATGTACGCTGTTGCTAAAGGAAGTCATTGAGTAGGAAGGGACACTATATTCAGTATGGAAGCTGTGAGGGGACAGTTCTGAATACCACTGGCTTTCAGCCATGCTGAGGGACTTCTCAGTATACTTTTAAAAGTGGAATAAACTACACATAATTTTGAATGTGCTTGTGTGTGTGTGTGTGTGTGTGCATATGAAGGTCAAGGGTGGGTATTGAGTATCTTCCTTGGTTGCTGTTTCCTCATTGAATGTGGAGCTCATTGGCTTTACGGGACTGGCTGTCCATTGAGCTCCAGGGCTCTGTCACCCCAACAGTGCTAGGGTACAGGTGTTTGGGTACTGGAGATCCAAACTCTGACCCTCATTTTAGGACTGAGTTATCTTCCCTGGCCCTAAGTGTAACTTTTCAAAGAGTGCATATGTGGTAGTTTGAATAGGAATGGCCCCCACAGTTCATGTGTTTGAATGCTTGGTCCACAGGGAATGGCACTATTAGGAGTTGTGGCCTTGTTGCAGGAAGTGTGTTACTGTAGAGGCGGCCTTTGAGGCTCATATGCTTAAGCTATTCCCAGTGTGTAACACAGTCTCTCCCTCCTGCCTGTGGATCAAGGCATAGAACTCTCAGCTCCTTCTCCAGCATGATGTCTGTCTCCATGCTGTCATGCTTCCTGCTTCCTGCCATAAAGATAATGGATTAAACCTCTGAAGCTGTAAACTAGCTCCAATTAAATGTTTCCATTTATAAGAGTTTCTGTGGTCATGGTATCTTTTCACAGTTAAAGAAAACACAACAGACACAGCATGTTTCACCTTAATTTTCCCTTTATTGTACAGAAATAGTTGTTTTGTTTGACATTATAGACAATTTTTTATAATCACTGATGTAGTGAGTGAGCACCGTAGACCAAAGAAGAGACTTCACTTTGTTGCTACAGTTTTCAATTCTTTCTTTTCTGGGAAAATAACAAAAGAGGCAGATGGAGTATTTGTGTGCTTCTACCTGTTTCTTCCCGTTGGGAACAGAAACTATGAAACCGTACTGAGTCTAGGGATGGGATGCCCTATGCCTATGAATACTTGAGAGTTGGCTGAAATGCACATTAAGTAACAGTCATCTTAAAAAGGCCATACTGAGGACAGCAATCGTAACTTTTCCTTTAAAATTTCCTATTTTAAAATGCTACTTCTAATGTCACAATAATATATATCAATATATCATGATTATGTATGTGACATATATGTATATACCAATAACATCTTATGGAGATTTAGTTAAGTTTGATATCTGCAGTCTGTCACCCAAATTCAATTTCCTTCCCTGCTATTTTTCAATAAGTAATTAGAAAAGAAACCCCGTATGAGTTGACCGAGTCTGCTATTGTAGGCTGTTTGCTGTCAACTCAGAGTTCTCAATTAGCTCCAGTGTTGTTATAATTACTGGACGTGTTTTCAAACAACTCCCAGTTAATAACTGTTGGGATGAAGAGTCATTTTCTCACTGTAGATGAGACTGTGCACGCTCATGCTTGCTGTGATGTTTTGACAATGATTCATTAACCAATAATAAGCCCCAATTGGACCCATTAGGCATCATCGCCTTTCCTGGGATTACCTTTTATTTTGTTCCTCAATACTGTCTTTTCTTGACTTGCTTTCTGGATAAGTCCCAAGAGACTCCTTACTACACAAAACAATATCAAGAAGACAGCTGTCATTAAATTCAGATACTTGTAAGAAAAAGGAGGTTCCATGCAAGAGGATGCTCTTGTTGAAACTTGGGAGAGAAAAAGCACAGTCAAAAGGAGGCTGCACCAAGAAGGCACAGCTTGAAGGCACAGTTCACTGAGACAGGGCAGAATTATCCTATGCCTTTCAAAGGCTCATATAGCATCTGGTCAAATGCATCCTCCCCAGCCACTGCTGTCTCTCTCATGTTATCACTCAAACATAAATTTCCTTCCTTCCTTCCTTCCTTCCTTCCTTCCTTCCTTCCTTCCTTCCTTCCTTCCTTCTTTCCTTCCTTCCTCCTCCCCTCTATCCCTCCCTCCCTCCACTTCTTTCCTTTCTTGCTTCTGTTCTTTTAATTCTTGTTTTGTCAAAACTCAAGGATTTCCTAGGTTGTATTTTCAGTTTATTTTTGTTAGGACATGTGTGTTAACGTCACAGTGTGCATGTGGTCAGAGGATGGCATTCAGGGGTCAGTCTTCTTCTTCTACCAAGGGACTCAGGGATTGTGTGGCACACATCTTTCCCTGCCAGCCCTCCATGCATTCTAACAGGAGATTTTGATGCCATATTGATATGATTGGCCCACAAGGCTGGCTTCCAAAAGGCAGGTCCTTTTTTCTTTTTTGAATTTCTGAAACAAATGCTATAAAATTAATCACTTTATTAGGATTATTAAATCAATATCATGAAACTTAAAAAGGGGATACAAAGCATTTGTCCTCCCTCTGTGTCTGGACCATGGTGACTTAGTGACATTCCACTGAACCTTAACATTTCGAGATGGCTTGAGACCACAGGAAAGTCTACTGGATTAATTCAACCCCAAACTTTCAGCAACAATTTTATTTCTTTGGCTGAAGTATTTTAGATGCCATGTGGCGCTGAGTAAGGAATTTTGATGCCCTAGGGCAGTGATCCTCAACCTGTCTAATGTTGTGACCCATGTTGTGGTGTCCCCCAACAAAAATTTATTTTTGTTGCTACTTCATAACTGTAGTTTTGCTACTTTTATGAATCATAATGTAAATATCTGATGTGCAACCCCCGTGGAAAAAAGGTCTCGACCCACAGGTTTAGAACCGCTGTTCCAGGGTCTTACATGCTGGATGGTAAAGCGTGGCCTTGAGGAATCTTGTGAAACAGTGTTTGTGGTCTGCCAATTCATTTCACAGCTCATCTCAGCATTGGCTTTCAAGTGTGGAGGCGGTGGGAGGGTTCGAAGCTGGTAACAACATCCTCTGTCCACAAGTAAATGCCTTTCTCCACCTAAGCTCTGCTCTCAGCTTTAAGAGGAAGTTTCTTGCAGGCAGCTTTTGTTCCTGTCATGAATATGTAGCACACATACGACCCAAAAGTGGATTTTTTTTTTTTGGTTTTTACGAGACAGGGTTTCTCTGTATTCAAAAGTGGATGTCTAAAGCGAATCCTTATACCACATGGGTAGATTCGCCCTAGATGGTTAAAATGACATGTTTCTTGACATACTCATGGTGGGATACAATGTCCAGGAAAGGGGTAGATGTTAGTCCTTTGGTAAATGTGTTGTTGCTGTTTTGAGACAGACTCTCACTATTTAGATCAGGCTAGCCTCCAACTTGAAACACATCCCCACCCTCCCTGCCTCAACTTCCCAAGTGCTGTGATTACAAACATGTGACCACTCCCGGCTCTTTAAGATCGAGACTCTTGATAATGCTTCAAAAGAGAAAAATAAAAAAGAGTATGAATAGTTACATTCATAGTAGACTCTGAAGTACATGCATTTGGTAATATTTGGATATAACCACAATGGTGACAAGATGCCTGGAGAATTCATAGTCGTGGAATTGATGACTTTGACCATAAAGTGATCTTAGGTGGGTTTCTCTGACTAACGTTTTAGTGTTCTGTTAAAATGAAATCAGGACCTTTTTTCCCCCTATTCAATACTCATATCTAGAAGTGTCTTCAAATTTTCCACTTTATATTTTAGACTTTTTTGAAACTTGAAAGCTGAAGTAATACTTTGGACACGTTACCTCAGTGACTAGGTCAGCCAAATTCATGTTAGTAAAAACATGTTAGTCGGCCGGGCGGTGGTGGCGCATGCCTTTAATCCCAGCACTCGGGAGGCAGAGGCAGGCGGATCTTTGTGCGTTCGAGGCCAGGCTGGACCGATAGCCTCCGAAACAATACAGGGAAACCCTGTCTCGTAAAAACCAAAAAAACAAACAAAAACAAAAAAACAAAAAAAATGTTAGTCTGTGCATTCTGTCTCAGGGGGTAGAAAAACACATATGGACAAATTTATTTGGAGGGGCTTGTAGATATTCGTTATATGGAAAAAGGGCAGAGGTAGTTTAACAAACCAGAAGATCCAATATAAACCAATGGCTTTATTGTCTTGCTCTCTATCAGTCCAAATTCCAGCAGATTTGAAAATAAGTGATATGTATTTTTATATCCAGAAGGTGAAATATGTCCCAGTGTCTGGGCCCCATGCTAACTTCTACACAGAGCAGACAAGAGCAGGAGGCAGGTGACAGTGCCAGGTTACCACTCAGAGTAGATGGGATTGTTCAGTTGTTCGTCTTCTCTGTGTCCCTGTCATAGCAGTGTTGATCCCCACCTAATGCTACCTAGACGATGTGAAGGACTTTGAAGGCAGCTACGGCCTGCTTTTCTCGCTCATGCCTGCTCTGCAGGACCTCCAGCAAGGAGATTTCTGGTAAGCTTCCTTCTTTTTCATGGTTCCTCGTGTTCTTAGTTTTCTTTGCTACATGATCAGTCAGACTTGGTGGTTTGGGTTTGGGGATGGTCTTAGCATATTCCAAAGCCTAAGGGCATGAAAAGAAAAATGTTATTTAAGTGAGAAGTTAGTCTTAGGAGAGGTTTATGATAGAGATGGAGACTGCTGTAATATGAGCAGAAATGGCGACTGAGTGGAAAAATGCAGATAACACATTATAATGCATAGTTTCAACAAAAGAAATTAGTCACTAAATGGCATATTATGGAACAAAAAGGAGCTAGAGAAGGATTTAGGCAGCTGTTATGCTACTCAGATGTTTTCTTTTCTTTTTTTTAAGATTTATTTATTTGTATACAGTATTTTGTCTGCATGTATGCCTCCAGGACAGAAGAGAGCACCAGATGTCATTACAGATGGTTGTGAGCCACCATGTGGTTTCTGGGAATTGAGCTCAGGACCTCTGGAAGAACAGTCAGTGCTCTTAACCTTTGAGTCATCTCTCTAGGCCCCCACATGTTTTTACCATGGCAGATTATTTATTTATTTATTTATCTAATTATTTATTATAGATACAGTCTTGTGCCTGCATATGTGCTTGGATACCAGAAGGGGGCATTATAGATGGTTGTGAGCCACCATGTGCTTGCTGGGAATTGAACTCTGGACCTCTGGAAGAACAGCCAGTGCTCTTAACCTCTGAGTCATCTCTCCAGCCCATGGCAGATTCATTTAAGTGTTTACAGATTTCTCATGTGTTTATTCTGTCAACTCTCTGAGAGTCTTGTTAAAACCAAACTTCTAATAGAATCAAATAAGCCTTTCTACCCAGAGCAAACTTGTAGCTGAAGGACTTGGAGACTGAAAACATCACTGTAGTTGATGAAAACTCAACTCTGTCTTTATGTCTCATTGTTCTTTGAAAGAAAAGTTGGGTATTTTAAAGTGTATCTATAGAAGATAGATGCTGAAGATGTAGGGTTTTAAAAAATTGATGCCAAACTTTAAAGGTTAAGTTGTGATTAAAAGTGGGACCAGTTGGGCTAAGGACGCTGCTCAGTGACAGAATCTTTACCTGCATGTACATGACTCTTGGTTCTGTTAGGGAAGGGGAAGAGACGGAGAGGAGTGAGAGAAAGAGAGAGTTGAACGTGATTGATACTGGTTTTGTATTGTTAAGCTTTTGCTCCTAGACTTATGTGTATGAGTACTTTTCTTGCATGCATGCCTGTGCACCCTGTACATGCCTGGTGCCCTCAGATGTCATAAGAGAGTCCTCTGGGACTGGAGTTACAGACAGTTGTGAGCCACCACATTGGTGTTGGGAACTGAACCTGGTCCTCTGTAAAAACAGCAGGTGCTGTTAACCACTGAGCCACCTTTCCAGCCCCAAGCTTTGTATTTTAATAAGAATTTATTGACAGCTGAAATGGGAATTGATAGTATTATCAAGTATCAGGAAGGGGGAAAACACCAAGACATAAAACATTCATCTAAATGTATGTAAGAGAAAGGCATGGGAATTCTCAATAGATTTGTCACTGTGAACATCTTCATGAAAATGGGCTGGAGGAAGAAGGAAATGGTGCGATGGGGAAAATGAAGTTGACAAGGTCTGAGGAAGAATTAATATATGGTTGGTGAAAAGAGAACATGTAGTGAACTTTCCTAAAGGCACTGAAGGATCGCATACTCCTCATGCAAGGAGTCCCCATGGATGTATAGGGTTAGATGGATCAGCTAATTTCCTTGAAAGTTATTTAATTATAAAGAATGTAACCAATTGTTAATCCAGACTGTTAGCTCCTGATGAGAAATCACTTCGTTATTTTTACATGTAACAAAACTAAGACAACATACTGACCTAACAGTAGTGAGTGAGTGTGTGCGTGTGTGTGTGTGAGTATGTGTGAGTGTATGTGTGAATTTGTGGATAGCATATGAGTGCAGAAATGACTGTTTCTAAATGTTCCCTATTTTCCAAACACATCCCCAATCCCCAGACAGGGTTTCTCTGTATAACAGCCCTGTCTGTCCTGGAATTTGCTTTCTAGACCAGGCTGACCTTCTAACTCACAGAAATTCACCTGCCTCTGCCTCCCTAGGGCTGGGATTAAAGGTGTGAGCCACCATGCCTGGCTCCAAACACACTGAGGTTAGGTGGTGACCCAAGTTTTCTTTCGATTTCGACTGAAGCATACGTGCCCCGATGCCAGCTTCTTACCTTATGTCGAGAAATCACTGGTTTGCTTTCAGTTTTTGCTGTCTCTGGTTTGGACAGCACGGACAGTGTCTTCATGTTGTATTCCTGGACTTGCCTTGCGTATTCTTTTTGCTGCACTAACTTTTTCATCTGCTTGGAGAAAGGGAGTATAGTGAGCTAATCTCTTCTAATTCTCCCAGTGACACTGGTTTCACGGAGGTGGGAAGCTCAGGGGGGTGACTTGTGTAGGGTGGCAGCAGTGAACCGGTTAATCTTTCCCTGGAGAATCTGCCCTGAGTGCAGCGGTACTCCCAGTGTTCTCTTAACAGAGGCTAAATCCTATTCAGCCTCTTCTTTGTTGCATTTACCCAATTTATTTTCATTTTTGCTTCCAACTTTGAACTATACTCTTTTTATGCCTGAGTGCAACTGCAGTTCAAACACATTACATGAAGATCTCCTTTCACTAGAGGGAAGAGAGTGAAGTGCGTGTACTTCTTAAGGCTTGAGGAACTCACATCCTAAGTGTGTCTTCTCTGCCGCCACTTCAAAGTTATCAAGACAACTCTATCAGGGAGACCAACAACCGCACAGCACACGCGTCCCTTTTCACATTCATGTGCCCCACGCTTCTGGGGGAGGCTTTCAGATCTAACTGAAAGGCGGTGCATAAAATAACACAGGCTAAGAGTGTTGTTTATTTTTGCAGCAGGAATATCTGGGTCTCTATTGTGCCAGCATGGCTGTTCCTGAGGGGTTTCTACTCAGTGCCGGATGTTTGCACTGGGTTTGATGCTGGGGTGCATCTTTCCCCCCATATTGCTAGGGACAGGTAGAGGACACTGAGTGTGAAAATGCCATATGCCACTTACGTTGTCTCTCATGGACTCCAAGTCAGGTCCCAGGCCTCCAAGCTTCACGTCTCTTTTCTGATAACCTTTCAGCTTGGAACTCTGAAAAATACAACCACAGAAACGGTTCCTTTTTAGGATCAGTGGCCCCTCCAAGAAGTCATGGGGACATGGGAAAGAAGGACAATGAAAACCAGAAGCCCTGGTGGGAGGCGGGAGAATGAGTGCATTTCCTGGCAATAGTGCCATTTTCATGGTAGTTACTGATTATAGCCTTTTTGGTTTGTGTAGTTGGTTAGCTAATGTATTTTGACTTTTTCGCTTCTACAATAAAAGAAATTGAAATTCTGAAATAATAAGCAATTTCAAGATAATAATTTGCTCTTTGGTTAACATTTTTAACTAAAGCATATATAATACAACCCTCCCCTAGCAACAGTTACCATGATCAGTCCAGTTGAACAGTTTGCAAAACCAAATGACTCCTCAGAAATGGCAGTCAAAATACACTATTTCAGAAAGTCCCTGTCCAGTGGGGTAAATGCTGCCCGCCTTTTGAGACACCCAGAAGGCAAGTGATGAAAGTGCAACTTGAACATTTTTACAGTTCATTGTTGGAATAGGAGACAATTTTAAGGATAAAAACCAACCATTATTCATTGACAATACTCAAAGCCTTGGCAAGACCCACTGAGAAATTCATTTCATTGTTAGTGTGATTTTGGAAGATTTGAAGGACACCTAGAATTTGACAGTGTAACTCTAGCATCGCACACTTAAGTAGACAGAGCCACAGAGGGAGGCTATGACCGGAGGCGACATTAAGGTATACCCCAAACTGCAGTTTTCCACATGAAAACCAAAGCTGGGACGTGCCATTTGCCCTTGTGGGGAAACCAAAGCCTCTCCTCTTTCCTCAATGAATTTGGTTCCATTTTCTAGGAAGGATAAGAGCACTATCACCACAGGAATGGTTTAGATAACTTGTCTTAGAGTTGCTATTGTCATGACAAAACACCATGGCCAAAAGCAACTTGGGGAGGAAAGGGTTTATTTCATCTCCCAGGTCACACTGCATCACTGAGGGAAGTCAAGGCAGGAACCCGGCAGGAACTGAAACAGAAGCCATGGAGGAACACTACTTACTGATTTGCTTTTCATGTCTTGCTCAGTTTGTCCCAGGACCATCCGCCCACAGTGAGCTGGGTCTTTCCCATCATCTATCCATCAAGAAAATGCCCTATGACTTGCCTACAGGCAATCCAATGGAGGCATTTTTCTCAGTGTTCCTCTTCCCAGATATGTCTAGGGTTGTGTGAGGTTGCCAAAAACTAACCAGAACAATGGTAATAACTATTTTAGGGCAAATTTAAGTTTGTGCTTAGAGTTGAAAAAATGACGTGTGCCACCTGTGTGATATTAACTAACTGTATATCATGTCAGTTATGGTGTCTTACACCAGGTGTGGTGGTACACGGCTCTACTCCCAGCACTCGGGGTTGGCAGTAAGGCCTGAGAAGACAGTGAGTTTGAAGCTAGCCCACTCTACTGAGTGAGTTCCAGGACAGTCAGGGTCATACAGAGAAAACTTATCTTGAAAAGCAAAATTAATTAATTAATTAATTAATTAATTAAAAAATGATTGTGGCTTGCCTTTACCATTGAGATTCAGACTCTAAATATAAAACAAAACTGAATGGTTAAAATCAAACAAACACATCTATATAGTAAGACACAACTAATTTGATAATAAATAATCAATTATCTTATTTGAGGAACAGTGAATTACAATCCTTTTTGTAGAAAGAGCTCATACAAATACATATGCTGATGTGTGGGAACACCAGACCTTGAGCAGAGACCCACTTCCCCTTCTGCCTGGGAGTAGGCAGCTGTCAGACCATTTAGTGAGATGCATGGAGCAGAGAAAAACTGGACCTGAGACCATGGGAGCCTACCTAAGCCAGTTTGAGTGAGATCTCCTAAATCAGTGTTCCTGACCCTTGATGTCATCGAATCTAGAGCCCAAGAAAGAAAGAAAACAGTCGGTTTGAGATTTCCAGTTTCTCAACAGACCTGCTGCATCAACCTTCCGGACCCATGAGTTTTCATCGTGAAGCCAACAGAGAAAAAAGGACCCATTTAAAACATTTGGACATTGGTATGGACTGTGATGAGGGGCAAAAGCTTCTTTTCAGTAATTGAACAGGACATGGTCACTTGAAATATCAGACTTGATGGTTCCTGTTTCTGGAATCACGACTAGGCCAGTGTATTTTTCTAGAGAGATGCAACTTGTCCTAATGCGACAAAAAGGAGACTTTGACTCAAGTCGCCTAATCAGCTGACGTTAAATCAACAAACTGCATCACCACAGGAACAAATTGGTGCTCTGTGGATAGTGCAACAAGCCTATTGTTCATATTTTTCATAATGCTACATGTGTAACATCAATGATTGTACCTAATGTATCTGTGTAAGTGCACTTTCTAAATGCTTTCCTGAGCAGATCTTGGAACAATTGTAAACTTTATCAAATTGTAAATGTAAATCACATGCGGGTTACCCTTGTAACAGAATGTAAATCACGTGTGGGTTACCCTTGTAACAGACGAAGGCTGGTAGAATGTTATGGCCCAGATCTGGTGATGGGTACGGTGATGGAGAGGCGCTATGTCAATGGGGGTCCTGGAAATGGTGGCAGTGGCGGTAGGCATTCTGGCTTTATGCCGAGCTCAAACGTGCCTTGTTCCAGAGGCAAGAGATCTGTAACCAAGTATTGCTTAGCCTAGCCCATGGCAATCCCGATAGCCATGAAGGTTGGTTACAGATAATTTAAAGTTGGGGTGCTCTGATGACGGGCAACCTGTGGGAAGACCCCTCCCGCCTAAGACAGGGGTTCAAGGTCCCCCAAGGACGGGAAAGGGAGGGTGACCCTACTTGACCTAAGCCAGGAGTGCCTCATTTAAAAATAAAAAGGGGTGAATTGTGGGAACACCAGACCTTGAGCAGAGACCCACTTCCCCTTCTGCCTGGGAGTAGGCAGCTGTAAGACAATGTTTACTAAAAACATGTTTACTAAAAACAATACAATGCCTGGGGGCATTAAGTTCCTGGAAAAGGCCTGCCCACAGAAACCACCCTGACCTCGACCTTGTCCAAAGACTAACCACCTCTTCTGCCACGCCCAGATCAGTTTCTGGGGTCAGAGCAGAACCAGCAGGGGAGAGGAGAGAGCAGAAGCTTCTCTGGTGGGAGGCTTTCTTAGGAAGTTTTCTTGAACCTTTTTGGAGCCTGCTTAAAGTTTTCTTTACATCGTTGAACGAGTCTCTGTGTTGTCAATCCCCGACACCCTCCGCAAGTTCTCAGACACAGGCTGCGCGGCAGACGCAACACTGATGTTTGTAAAGTGGTGATACATTTTAGACAATGGCAGAATGTTTTTTATGTGTAAGATCATCAAAGATTAAAACTAAATGATTGCAGGCCATGCTGACAGCAAGATGGCAGGTCGTATTGCTTTGAAATCTTATGATGTTATAAACTGATGCCAGCATTTAGACAAAAATTCAACATCTGTTTGTATGTGTAGACAAAAAATTCACAAGAATACAACCCAAACTGTTAAGAGACGTGAGTAGGATTTCCAAGAGTTTTCAGAATAATTTTCTGTATGTGTGCATATGTATTTTAAAGTTACTGTGAATTATGTGAAGTCCTAAGATAGGCCATATGCCTTTAAAATGAATAATTTTAGATTTATCTATTTTATTTGTTTGTGTATGGTTGTTTTACTTACATGTAGGCATGTGCGGCCTGTAACCTGTGCACATTGCCTGTATGCTTTTGTCTTCTCTGGATTAGTTATACTTGTCGTGATGTAAGTACTACTGAGAGAGTCCTTCTGGTGTCACAATGACTTGGAAAAGCCTGTTGCATTCAGTACAGGTGCACTGTTTCTAGAATATGGGGACTGACTTTTTCCTACCAGCCTCCCCACCACAGAGCTCTGGCCAGTAAGCTAGAATTGAATGTGGTGGGTAGAAGTTGTATCTTTGGAGGCTTTTATTCAGGTTGGTGTGGCAACTGTCCTCTCTTTTTTATTTTTTACCCCAATCCCGAAAGTGGATGGGACTCCTGCAGCAGGAACAGCACTCCTTCAGGCAGGGGAGAACCGGAGAATCACACAATGCTTGGTTCTGATGTTTTGAGCTGTGGAAACCCCAGTGTTAGCAACTGCCTACCTCTGGGTTAATTGTATCAAAGAAGAATGAACCCATGGTTCTGAAATTGCTGGTCAGTCTGTCACTGCTGTGGAAGGCAATATTCCTAACACACCAGGGCTTCAGTGTCACTATTCAGAAGGAGCAAAATAAAGTGCCTCGCAGGTGCAACACTTCTAGGATTAAGGGCTCAGTAAACAGAACTGGCTCCATTATGATGTTAAACATTTATGGTCAAAACTCCCTCACTGCATCGAAGTCTGAAAATCAAGAGAAGGTAAGATTCCATTTTAAAGAATAATAGACATTGCTCATCGAAGACATTCCAAAATAATAAATCTTTAGGAAAACAGCCATTAACAAGATAAAAGCACTAAGTCTGCTCCTGTCTGCTTCTTGTCTGCTATATGTTTTTTATGTCTTTTCTTTTGGGAGGGGGCTGGGTCTGGCTATGTAACCCCGGCTGTCCATGAGCTTGCAACTCTTCAGCCTGGTGTTGGGACTGCAGGCTCACGCCACTTGTGTGGCTATGTTTGATTTGTTCATACTCTTGTTGTTTTTAATACTAAAGATTTTTTATTTAAAAGTATTTGTGTGTGTGTGCGCGCGCGTGCGTGCTTGTGGGTACACATCATTAGGCCTGTGCAACAAGTTCCTTTATCCACTGAGTCACCTTTCTGGCCCTTCTTCAGACATTTACAAAAGTATTCATATACTACAGACTATTTTAATTTTTTACTAACCATTTTGATATTTCATTCTACTTATCTGATATCAAGTGGACTGCAAAAATGTGAATTTTAGACAAACATTTTATCATTAAATAATTTAGGCATTCCTCTAGATACTGTTCATTGAAAATACGCTGAGGTAAACACTGTATGTTACTTTGATTTTTTTCCCAAAAATGGTGGAAGTATTGAGATCTAATAAACATTTAGGGCCACCAGTTAGCATTTCTGCTACCACTAAGATGATTCTTTTTTTTTCAAACCTTGGTTACAAGGTACAGTATCAACACACTTTACAAACTTCAGTCATTTTTAATAGCTGAGTGAACACAGACAATTTATGCCTGAAACTACAAACCCATTCTTCCCAAAGGTGCCATCTGTGTCACTGTTTCACAATCATTCAATTATGGACTATTTGCTAAAGTAAAAAAAAATGATAAAAAAGTTTAAAAAAAAGAAACCAAACAAATAAACCACCACTCATATCCAAGTCATAAATCCAATTTGCCTGAACACGATGAGAAAGAAATGATCAGTGGGCAGAAACCTCATCCTTAGCCCTGGTGCAGCTTAACTTTTAATTATTCTGCCAACTCACAAAGGACATGACAGGAAGCATGGATAATTGTGGGATGATCTTCAGCCACTCTTCTTGCTAGCAACTTCAGTAAGCATCAAGGTTATAATAAAAAAAAAGAAAGAAAGAAAGGGTCTATCTAACATTCCACACAGACATGGAGGGAGAGCATGTGGCCCAAATGAGCCATCCCCATGGCTGCTGATCCCTTTATAGGATGAGCTGCCTAGAGCACAGCGACATTTCCCAGGGGACGGAGGTGGCTCCTAGGGGAGTGAGTTTGTTCCGGGTGACTGGTGGTAAGAATCCTGTATCTGCTTAAGTTTGGCGCAAGTAATTAGGAAGAACCCAGCACTGTAATTCTGTTTGATCTCTCTCCATCTAAAGTCTTACTAGCATTATTGAGATGTAATTTTGATGCCACAAAATTTACTCATTTAAAGCTGTTCAATTCAGTTGTTTTTAGGTTAGCCGCCAAATTGTGTAAGCATTGCCCAATCCAATTGTACAACATTTTCATCGCTCTGAAAACAAAACAAAACTCCAGTACCCGTTAATCCTCTCTGTCCTGGTCCAGTCCCCACACCTCTAGTCCTAGGCAACTAAGCTACTTAATGCTTCTTCAATAGTCTTTTACAGTCAAACAGTCCTCAGACTTTATTTTCATTTCTCTTTTCTTGGTTTTCTTAAAGACTAAAAAGTAGTGCAATGTCAAAACGATGATGGTGGTGATGATGGTGATAAAGATGGTGATGACAATGACAGTGATAAGATGCCAGTACTGACAGTCCTATTAAGCCTCTGAATAGAGGGATCAAACTTTGGAATACAGAAGCATGGTCTAGACAAATCCTACCTGTCTTTGTGAAAGCTCACATGAACTCAGGCTTTGTGGTTTACACCTGCAATCCTAGCACATGGTAGGAGGAGAGGGAAAGACCACCATAAGACAGGAGGTCAACTTGGGCTACAGAGTGAAGGAGATCCTGTTTTTTTGTTTTATTTTGTTTTTTTTTAAACCAAACCAAAAAAAAAACAAACAAACAAAAAAACTCACATACCCACTGACATCTATTGGACTTGGCCCCTCAAACATGAGACTTTCCTTTCCTGGGGGCAAGGTTTCTAGTACCATTCCTCATTCTCTCTAGCAAGGTGTGTGACAGTCACTGTATGCTCCAAAGAGTACACCTGAGTTGAAGTGACATTGACTGATCTGTGAGGACTTGTTTCAATTCCGAAATGTTACACCCTGCTGGGGGTAAGGAAACTACACTGCAGACTTAGTCTCCAGAAAATTCCTCAGATGTGTAAGACTAAGAAAGCTACTGAAAAACAAGATAAAAACAATGCCTTGGATGCCTGGGAGCAGCGAGCAAAGGATATGTGCTCTGTGGTCACTAAACTTAATCCAAATAAACCTCTTTTTAGGGGCAGCCAAGCAGCAAGCTCCAGATTGTCTGTGACAACAAACACCAGTTAATCATACAAGCTCAACCTTCATCTGCCAGGGAACTCCTTACTGAGCCCTTACTCAGTAAAGTGGTGCTGGAGACAGCAGAAGTATATTTTGATGGTTTGGCATCCCTTGTACTGTGTTAATTTCTTAGTCATAAGCCTGGATTTAATGATGTGGACAATGCCTGGTATTCTGAAATCACTCACGACAGCACTGCCAAAAGAGGAAGGGACCCCAGGCCTATTATCTTTACAAATCCTCAGAATTTTTACCGTGATTCAGGGAGATTCCCTTGGAAACCAAGAGCTTTGACTTGGCTAGCAAATAGACGTGACATGGATAATGACTCCCCCTGTCTGCTGCAGCGACTACCTGCTGTCCTATACAAATCACTCAGTTCTAAGTCACTTCAGCTTCTGGCCAGGCTTAAAGACAAAGGGTGTTCCAGTGTGTTTGTCGGATGTAGACGGAAGGTACTGGGGTGAGAAAATGGATGTGTGTGGATTGCAGTCACCCTTGCAGGAATTGAGGAGGGGCGGGCAGGAGCAGGGAGTTGTCCCTACTCTTCCCACCCCCTTGATTGGTGGTGCTATGCACTGTCACAAGGGCATTCGCCTCCATCCTTTCTCAGCACAACATGAATTCAATTTGTGAAAAGGAAGGAACAGGAAAGAAATGATGTATAATCTTTGCTAGAGAATAAGGTGAGGTTAGTACATTATTTCATTTAATATCACACTACACCTAAAAAAAACAAGAAAGAGTGATTCTGATTGTTCCTATGAAGAATCAGGGATTGGGGTAAGACAGTAACTCCTCAATCGAGAAGTGTCTCCATAAGATGGGTCTGCAGGCAAGACTGTAGGGCATTTCCTTAATTAGTGATTGATGTGGGAAGGTTCAGCCCGCTATGAGTGGGCCAGTCCTAAGCTGGTGGTCCTGGGTTCTCAGAGAAAACAAGCTGAACACGCCACAGAGGAGCAGCACTCCTCCAGAAACCCCAGAGACACCAGGAGATGGGGCTGGACCAAAGACTTCCGAATGACTGAATCCACCAACTTCCTTCCAACCCAGTTCAAAAGCTGTTGTTTTTCAGCTACAGGAAAGTACTCTTCTGAGAAAGTGTGTTTGCCTGAGTTTTAGGCCCTGGTGATCTGTAAGCTCTGGGGTGAGCAGGCCATTTACAGCAAGTGTTGGCTGCAAAGGCTGAACGTATACCCCATGGAAATAATACATATGATGCTTGCTTCCCTATCTGGTCTATAAGTTGGCTTATTTGAGGAACACTTGAAAGTGATACAGGCACTACTTTAGAACCCAAATGCCATGTAATCACACCTGCCTGGGAAAATAAATGACCCCTGATTCTCCAAACTGGGCCTCCTTATTTACAGTGGAAATCGGGTCTTCCAGTTCCAAGCTAATATGAGTGCTTTCCATGCCTCAGACCATGAGTTAAATAAACTTCTTTATAATATAACGTGTCTCAGGTATCTTATTATAGTAATGAAATACAAAATCACATTATTTCACCCCAGAACCAAGTGATCTTCCTGAGAATTTAAAAAGTTGTGTTTGGAGCAAGACATGAAGAGATGGAATTGCACAAAAATGCTCACCATGGTGACCTAAAGTCTAGATGAAGAACTCAGTAAAGACCAGTTGCCTTTATGGAGAGCAGCTTAGTCCACCGGCTGGCCTGGGGACTTTGCTGTAGAAGCTGAGGTGAGATGTGCACCAGGAGGAATCTTCTGGTGCCGAGGAACCAGTAGTGGATGGCCAGAGAGCTCACTCACTCAGCCCTACGCTCTCTTTTCAGATAGGAAGGTGTGAGACTCAGCTTGGGAGTGGGACTGGGGTGAGGAAAAGTGGGGACTGAATGGAGGATAGAGCAGAATTATTATTGCCTTCCCTGAGATGACCTGGAAAGAAAGTGGGAGTAGGCACCCTTGACAAGAGAAACTTCTGGAAAGACAGGGCGGGGAAATCAACCGGGGAATAGCAAAGGCTTGAGGGGAGGGTTCCTGGCTCCTGGACCGGCTTGCAGTGTGAGAGGCTGAGTACTAACCAGCCACGTTCCACCCGTGTCATCAAAATGAAAAAGTGACTCGGCTGAACAGCCGTGCCGCTATCACCTTTGTGCTGCGCTTCCGGTGTTTCCTCCCTCTTTCCAGCTGAAGCAGGTAGCCTTCCGAATTACTGCGGGCCATCTTCATCTGCTGTCTGTGGTTTCTCTCTGAATCGAGCTGGGATTCACTTTCCACCCTGGACAGGATAGGTGGGAGTGTGGTGCTGGACAAGGAGCCCTCGCTGGGCTGCACTTCCGCCAGCTGCACCAGGGCTTGCTGGTGCTGCTCCATGATCTGGGCAAGCCGGGAGTCCGGAGAGGCACTGACGCGTTCTGCCTCTGAGGAAGAGTGGAATTTCCTTTGGAGAAAACATAAGCATTTTAAATAAAACTTGATCCCATAATACCGCTTTCTGTGTAGAAGTCTTTAGGAACCATTAATCTTTTCATGAACACATTGATTTTGCATCTTCAGTCCCTCCTCCTTTTCCTTGGGACACTCTAACTCCCTTTTAAGAATATCTTTCTATCTATCTATCTATCTATCTATCTATCTATCTATCTATCTATCTATCTGTGTGTCTCTCTCTGTGTGTACAGGTGCCTTTGGAATTCAGAAGAAGGTGTCAGATCCTGACATCTGTAGTAACAGGCATCTTATGTGAGTGTGGGGACCCCAACCCCAGACCTCTGTAGCAGTATCAACTCTTACCAGCTGAGCCATCCCTCCGGCCTCCAACAGGAAAGGCATGTTAAGGATTTGCAGTTAGTGCATGAAGTATAGGATAACAAGCAAGAAAATAAACAACAACAACAAAACCCAAACACCATTTTGAAACCCAAAGACCTTTCCACTACACAACAAGTAGAAATGAGGGACTAAATTAAAGGAGTGCCTTTAAATACATAGTTGAATGTGCCAGAGAATCTGGGAACTTCCAGGGATGGAAACAAAAAGGAATGAAAGCCAAAGAAGGTTCTGGATTAGCTAAAGATGAGGCTGTCTTTGGGGACTTTTGGGTAAAGGGTTTGAGGTTCAAGAGTTGGTGCAGGTGGGCTGGGAATGTGGCTTATTTGCTGGAGTGCGTGCCTGACCAACCAAGCCAGCAAAGAAATCTTGGGATTCTCTTCTCTATGTTGGGAGGCAACTGTCTTTTCTGAAGCTCCACACCTTTCTGAAGAAAGAAAAAAAATACTCTTGTACCTGTGAAGTACCAGGGACAGAAATTATTTGCATCACCCAATAAAAAGACACAGAACTGGTGAGAGGAAGCTTCCATCAAGTGGTCCACACTGATCACGCCACAGAAATACAATGTCAATAGGCCTGTCACTCAGCTCCCAATATGATTTTCAGACTGTCTCACAAGCAAGACCAGCCCTGATGCAGACACAGAACAGAGGAGGGGGGAGGGAGGGAGGGAGGAGGGAGAGAGAGACAGAGAGAGATAGAGACAGACAGACAGAGAGAGCGAGAGCGAGCGAGCGAGAGAGAGAGAGAGAGAGAGAGAGAGAGAGGGAGGGAGGGAGGGAGGGAGGGAGGGAGGGAGGGAGGGAGGGAGGGAGAACAAAACCTCACCAGCACAAAGCAAAACCCAGAGGAAAGAGAAACTAAGGACATTTAACAGCTTAAAATTGTCAAAAAGACCCTCACTTGCCATGTGTCTTGTTGAGAATGTAGGATGTCCAGAAGGAATGATGCTGCTTCCCAGGTAAGAGCAGCATCAGAAGATAGCCTTAGAAGCAAAGATATACCCTGGAAGTCACGACAGCAGTGGAAGGGTGGAGGCCAGGAGGATGGAGTCAGTGCCAACACTGCACCATCGAAGAACAATCCCGGAAGGATGCATCTGAGCAAGGCACTAGAAAGCACAGAAAGAGGATGGAGAGGATGGGAAGAGGTGGACCACGATAGCCTTCCGTGTTCTTCCCGGAGGGAAAGGAGGCAAGTCCCCAGCTTCAAAGGAGCTGGCACAATGTATAAAACAGTGATCTAACAGCTTCCGGAGGGAAAATGAATAGCCATGTGTGACAGACCTGAAATCTGGTGGCTTCATATTGTGTCAACGTCACATTGGAAGCAAGAAGAATGAATGGTTTCTAAGTTAGAATTCTGCCATACTCTGCCAGCCGAATGTCGTTCAGGCGGGCAGGATGAAGACAGTGTTGGCGGTGCAAGTCTCAGAATGTTCAGCTTCTAAGCAGCGGATGGAGTTCTCTGGTGGGATGAGAGTGGAGAGTGAGGAAGAGGAGGAGGCACGGAGAAAGGCAAAGGCAAGCTGCATGAGGGACGGAGCTAAGGGGCGTCCTTGTGGTAGGAATGGCCTGGCATGGAGAAAGTGTGTGCAAGACACCACAGAGAAACACCCGACCTCTGCCATAACACCACATTCCTTGTTCAAAGAAAATACCAGAGGATGAGTTAGTTCAACAGAATACGAATATTGAGATCCTAAGGAAGGAAATCCAATCAGGAGAAAGACCAAGGGTGTTCTCAGGACAGCTGTGCAGCAGGTCTCTAGCACCATCAAACCATTGTTGAGGAGTGTCAGCAAGGTATGGTGGAACATACCTGCCATCCTAGCACTTGGGAGGCTGAGCCAGGAGGGTTGCCAAGAGCTTGGGCACAGCCTGGGCAACACACTAACTATTAGGCACCAGGCAGGGCTACATAGTAAAACTCTGTCTCCCTAACCACCTAAAAGGAGAAAAAGTAATAGCGGAAAAGAAAATAAGGACATGACGACATGACTACAGGGAGAGTAGATCTCAAATAATGTGAAGACGTGAAATGAAAACCTTAATTGTAGTACATCTTAACACAGGGAAAGTGCTAACTTTTTTCTAGAAAATGAAATTCACCAGTCTGAAGGGGAAACAGGAATACTGCAAAGACCAAGTCATTATAATAATGAGTAAGGGGCTTCAAATCTGCTCACAGACAACAACAATAAAAACAAGGCCAGACAAAATCAATAGTTTCATAGAAAAATTCCATTGACCTTTTATGTAACATGTAATTCCTACAAACTGTTCCAGGGGATATGAAAGAGGAGAAGAAAGCCCAGTCTTCAGCTAACTCATAAAGCCGATGCTCTTCCAGCGTGCTCAGGTCTCCCCTCCTCAGATAGCCTGGGCTGACCAGGAACTCAAATTGTAATTGAACTCCTGACCGTGACAAGACCTTGAACTCCTGACTCTTCTACCTTTATCTCCCAGTGCTTGCTGCAGACCTGCTCCACCAAGCCTGGTTTGACAGCGTATGGATAACACAACTAGGCGAGGCCAATGGGAGATAGGAAAGATATAGGCTTGTCTTCCTTCATGCATATGAATGACACTAAGTCCTAAACAAAGAAAATTGAGCGGTTTATTAAAGATCCAGTCTGATGGGCTGGGGGGAGGTAAGGACATGTGGTAGAGTCCCTGCCTAAAATGAGCAAGGCTCTGGGCTCCTTCACCAGCATCAGAAAACAAAAGCCTAATACGACAAGTTGGGTTAATTTTGGGGACAAAAGGACAGCATCCCAGTAGGAAGCCTATGAGTATATTTCATTACATTATAGGATTGGTGAAACATATTTGATAAAATTACAAGCTCACTTATAACAAAAGTTCTTTGCAAAGGAAAATAGTAACAGGAAGGAATTTTCTATATCTGTCTACTAAAAACTAAAAATTATTGATTTTTATTATTGTGTATGTGCATGGGGTTGTGTGTGTGCACAAGTGCACATTGTGAGAATATATGTTTGTATAAAGGGTGACATACACACATGTGTTGCAGTGCATGTGTGGAGGGCAGAGGATAATGTTTGGAGATGGAACTCTAGACATTAGGTGCACATGATGGACTTGATCGGAGTCAGGTTGTTTCTATGTAGTCCAGGCTGCCCTTGAACTCAGTATCGTTCTCCCTCAGCATCTTGTGTGGTATACACAACCACACCCAACTTAAATACTAGTTGTAATTACAAAAGGACTGGAAGTCATCCCCTAAAGCCAGAGAAAAGACAACAAAGGTACTTCCAACCATCACTGTCACTCCAGCAAGCTGACTCAGACCCTTACTGAATGCTCACCCCAGACCGTCAGATACAGCCCCTGTCTCCCTACTGATTTATATGTAAAGTTGCCTCCCCATCCTGTGTCGCAAACAAGCCCATGAAAGGTGTCCCGTGTATCACACTACACATGTCTTCTGTGCACTTTAGCATCAAAGTCTGCATCGCATGTAAGGTGTCCAGAACATGATTTGCAAAGGAGCATCAGGGATGGTGTCTTGAAGGGACTTTAAAAAACCAGCCTGTTTTTGCTTATAGAAGTAATGCATCTACATTGCAGGAAAATTGAACAATTGTAACTCTAAAGAAAGAATGAAAAATAACCTTGATTTCTCTTGCCAGAGATAGTCACTGCATCTTTTAAATTTAAATTTTATTTATTCATTTATGACAGGGTCTTACTATGTAGCTTTTGCTGGCCTGGAACCTGCTATGTAGACCAGACTGGACTTGATGTGCCTGCCTCTGCCTCCTGAGTGTTGCAATTAAAGTCACGTGCCACCACACCCAGCACTTTTCATGTGTTTGGATGTTTTACTTACATGTATGTCTGTGCACCACATGTATTCTTGGTGCCTTCAGAGACCAGAAGATGGCATTAGATCCTCTGGAACTGGAGTTACAGATTGTTGTGGGTCACCATGTAGGTGCTGGGAATTGAACCTGGGTCCTCTGGAAGAGCAGTCAGTATTCTTAACCACTGAGCCAGAGATAACCACTACTCATCATCAGGTGGACTTTCTTTCCACATGCACATTGAGACAGTAGAGGCCATAGTCCTAGGCTATAACCTTGTACCTCATTATCTTCTCTTTTTGTTGTTTTGAGAAAGGGTTTCTTTGTGTAACCTTGGCTATCCTGGAATTTGCTTTGTAGATCAGGCTGGCCTTGAACTCACAGAGATCTGCCTGCCTGTCTCCCAGTGCTGGGATTAAATTTGTGCACCACCACTGCCTGGCTCATTACCTTCTCTTGGGGGAACATTTCCTCAGAGGCATAACTTTTAGTGGTCACAGGAACTAAATATTAAGTGATATTTCCCTACTACTGGATTTTTAGCTCATTTTTATGGTGGTATTTCTGTGCCTACACACCTTGGTCACTCCAGGTTGAAGATAACTTTTCCCCTGGTCATTACTCAAATCCTTCTTTTTTTTTTTTTGGTTTTACGAGACAGGGTTTCTCTGTAGTGTTTTGGAGGCTGTCGGTCCAGCCCGGCCTCAAACTCACAGAGATCCGCCTGCCTCTGCTTCCCGAGTGCTGGGATTAAAGGCATGAGCCACCACCGCCCGGCCTACTCAAATCCTTCTAAGCATGTTAAATTCTTTTGGCTGTGTCCCTGTGCCCTTCCCTTGCTCCAACTTCTAGTTTCCCTACCACAGAGACAGTAGAGGAGACCCGGAAGAGAAGGTCGGCATCTGAAGTAAGACTGTTAGTTGTCCTTTTCTGCTAGCCTGACCCACTCAGGAGTTTCCCTCCCCTTTCTTTATCCACAAGCCTCTTACTTCTCCTCTGAACAAACCACTCATGATAGGAAGTTCCAGGCAGGTGTGATGGCTCTGTTGTAAAGGCACTTATGCAAGCCTAATGACTGGTTTAATAAAGAAGCTGACTGGCCAACAGCTGGACAGGTTAAGGTTAGGCAGAAGAGCCAAACAGGGAATGCTGGGAAGAAGAAGGGCAGACTCAGGAATTATGAGCAGACACAGAGAGAAGCAAGATGGGCATGCTGCACTGAGAAAAGGTACTGAGCCATGTTGCAAAGTGTGGATACGAAATAAGGGTTAGGGGCTGGAGAGATGGTGCAGAGATGAAAAGCACTGGATTGGTCTTCCAGAGGTCCTGAGTTCAATTCCCAGCAACCATATGGTGGCTCACAACCATCTATCATGAGATCTGGTGCCCTCTTCTGGTGTGCAGGCATATATGCACACTGTATGTGTAATAAAAGTAAGTAAATAAATGTAAAAAAAAAAAAGAAATAAGGGTTAATTTAAATGTAAGAATTAGCTAGTCACAAACCTGAGCTATTGGCTGAGCGTTTGTAATTAAGATTAAGCCTCTGTGTGGTTACATGGGAGTTGCTTTTGGGACAGAAACTTCCACCTATGTGTGTGTGCATTCATGTGCATATATATACAAACATTATGCATGCACACACACATGAAAACACATGCACATTCACAATAATAAAACTAAAAATTTTTGTAACTAAAAAAGAAGAATTCTCACCATAGCATCTCTATGTTCTTGTATTTTGTCTCTGCCTGTGGCTGTTTGGATGGCTTCTTGATCTTTGTTGACCTGTATATATTCATGTCATAATCAGACTGAGGGCCTTTCTGTCCCTGGGACATTTGTCTGTGAGAAAGTTCATTAAACTCTTGTAGTTCCATATCAGAGAGCACGTAGTTGGGCAGCTGCCTATACAAAAATTGTTTCTCTTCTTCATGTCTCTGTCCTCTTTTTTTGTTAGTGTTCAGCCCCAAGACAGAGTTTTTATACAATACTCTGTTAAAACCCTGGTTGGGAGGAACAAATGTGTCGGAAGGGACTTGGGGATTGTGGGTGAGTGTTCTGGCATCCTGTAAGTCGGTGTTAGAAGAGTTCATATATGTGGCCAGTCCATGTTTTGCTGAGGCATCCATAGGCTGTCTTTGGTTTTGTGGTTGTTGGAGAGGGTAATTCTGATTTTTTTGATTGAGAACAGGCTCTTTCTGGCGTTTCTTCTGTTTCCGAACCCTGGTCTTTCCTGTTCTTCTGGAAGGTTGTTGCCCATTGGCTGTGTCAGAAGACTGACCTCTTGGGACATTGCCTGCTTTTGTACCTTCATATTGAGACAAATGTTCTTGGTAATTCTAAAAAAGATATTATAGTTAAGGTAAAATTAGAAGATGAGTACTCTTCATAAATTTTCAATTAATTCTTTTTTTTTTAAATGGGAGTTGAAACTTCTAGGAAAGTGGCCATGAGCTGATAAGGAGAAAGTACAGAGAGTTCTTTCCTAACTGCAGGTGATTAGAGGGTGAGGGGCCCAGGAAATTAACATTGTAAGCCTGGAAGGAGCTTGAGAGCTTAAAGCGGGCTCTGTGTTAGGTCTCTGACTGGCAAACCGTATGGGAAGGTGTCACCAAATGAGGGAGAGAAGCTTTACCTCCAAAGAGATGCTCAGAGAAAGAATACACATCTATGCCCACAGGTGCAGGCTTATGTTAACTAAGTATTTCCAAAACCCCACCCAGAAGACACCAGATGTTTTCCTGTAACAAGCAAGTCCAAGCTCAATCCAAGACACAGATCAGACTGTCAGCTCTTCGAACTCACACAGGTCAGAAGCTAGAAATGAGCTCTTAGCCAGATGAAACAAATTAGATCTTATTCAGAGGGTTATTCAGAGTCAGAGCTGGGATAGGGCGTCCGTGAAACCACAAGGACTGTTTTGCTTTCTGTTGCTTAATATAGCCTGCACTTAGGCAATCAAACATCTGGGGAAAGGGATTTCAATCTCAAAACCATCTCCAAGCTTTTCTAAGTCCAATAACAACATGATGTATTCCCGGGACAATAGATACACTGTGTCACTATATTGTGCTGTGCAGCCATTTAAGAGTATTTCCCGAGGAATGGAGCACTCATTACTTTGTGAAAAATGAGCAGGGTTAAGAGGCTTTTGGAAAGAATGATTAACTGCTTATTGAAACAGTAAGATGACCGTGTGCATCAGTGTGTTATATAACTGCAATGTCTTTGTCCCTTTCAGGACACACATGTAAAAAGGAACCCTTCATGACCCATATCTATGCAATGTTAATTGAAAAATGCAACCATTAGGCAGTACATTGGAGGCCAGTGAAAATACTCATACTGGGCAAAGCATGCCTTTCCTTGTTCAGATTTGTTTTGGTTGGTTGGGAAGCAAGATTACATCACGATGATACAGTTTTAGGTTTTATTTCACTTCCTTGATACTACCTGAAAGGCTGACAATAAGATCCTCTGCATGTTCCCAAATAATAATCATGGTCCCATTTCTAATAAAACCACATTAGGATGTTAAATTTACAAGACTGTTAAATGTACAACAGTGATATAGAGTATCGCTTGTAGTAGCAGACTGGTTAAATAAGGAAGGACTGTATTTGAAAAGTAGCACATTTCCTTTCTATTTTGAGCCACTTCAGGATTGACTAGGCTCTCACTGGCTCTTATAAATTTTCAGTTTTCACCTGTAGTTCTCTCCCACCTTAAAAAATGACAAATACCTTTCTTTATACATCCAGGTAGGAAAAGTGTTTTCTTCCACACGGTATATCAAGTTGCATGGGGCAGCATGAGCAAAAAAAAAGTCTCTCCCGATATATGGCCCCAAGTACATTCTTCTTTGTAGTCGCTCCCCAAAATCATTAGAGTTTTTTATTACATGTACTTATTTGTGTGCGTGCACACAATACCCATGTGGCTGCACACATGCTATCGTGCATGTGTGGCATCAGAGGACAACCAGCAGGGGTCAGTTCTCACCTCCCACCATGTGGGTCCCAGGGACAGAACTCATATTGTCAGGCCTGGTGGCACTTTTGCTTGGGGAGCCATCTTGCTGGGCCAGAAATTGCTGTTTTATAACCTTACAGGTGTGTTTCTGAAACACAATGACTCTCTTTGTGTTGTCATCATGTTAATTAAGGTCAACCAAGTCTCTCTTTGCTATGATCTATAAACTCTAACTCATACTGATCAGCCATGGAATTATTCTTTTTTACATTCGTCCAGCCTTTCCATCTCTGGGGGGAATAAAGGATTAACTAGGGACTTTCTGCTGTCAGTTGACTTATAGTTCCCCAGGAGGAATTCCTTTACTGGGGAACTATGTGTGAAGTTCTTGACTCTAGCTGTGTTGTTAGCTTGGTTGCCGACGATTCAGCTCACAGCAGCCCTCATCATAGGGTGCTTTGTCATCAAAGGCCACAGTCTTATCATTTTACCAAACTTGAATTGTCTCGGGAGTTAAATCCTCCATTCACGTAGACGTAAGTGCCCAGAGTTGGCATTTCATTCTTCAGAAAGGAAGACGTTTATGGGCTTGATATGATTCCTCTCACCTCCCAAGTAGCCTCCTTGAGATCTGCTGCTGGCTGGAGATTTATTACCCTACAATTGAGGCATCAGGTGTCACTCTTTAGGTGGTGAGACCTGAGTTCCCTGAAGTTAATATACAAAGCTGTTCTCAGGCTATTTAATCTCCATCAGCGCGGAAATCCGCGATTTCATTCTGTTCTCACTAGGATTCTTTTGTTACCGACGCTGGCAACTGGTATGCCCTCTGTGCACTCAGACTAACGGCTTAATGGCAGTAGGTTTTTATGTCACATGTGGAGTGTCAGTGCTGGGAAATCTCGATGCCTAAAGTTGAGATGGGAGTGTTATAGTGAGACTCATCCTTAGTCATCAGTGTCCACCCACACTGTACGTCACTCCAGCTCTGTGAAAGGCACTGGCTGCTTCTGTCTAGTGGCTCAGGTGTCATAAGCAAAAAGCAGAATGCACACTCCTACTGCAGCCAGCATGCTCATCTCCTCTGACACAGAGGCCACTGTTGCTCTTAGCTGTCCTAATTGGGCCATGGGGTCCTGGGCCTTCTACCTAGGATCCAAGATTACCTCTAACCCAGTGAACTTTCTGTTCTATTATTCTGTTTGGCTTCTCAGTTTGTTAAGAAATAAAATGTGATCTTAGGTTCCAAATCGTATCTAATATTATTAAGAAACATCTGGCATGAATTATTAACTAAGTCCCTCCTTGTCAGCAAAGAAGAACTCAGGTCGGATAAACAGAAGCAACACAGATGTTGACCTGACCAAATGCACAGCTCTTCGGAAAGGTGGGAAAAGGGGCTGGTCACTGGGACTGGACCATGATTAGTGAAGGCTCCCATGTGGTTATTCATGCTGTCATCATTGGTGCTTTTGGTTTTGGTCTGGGAAGACCTCATTTCACCCGTGGACACCTGGAAGTATCTTGTGGCCAGGGATGTACTTCTGCACACTGTCCAGCATGGCATCTGAGAAATGGATGCCTTGGGTTTGGGCACACTGATGAAATGAGACTTAATGAAACCTGTGAAGACCCACAGGGGAGTACAGAATGCTGCAGGACAGACAGTACGGTCTGAGGAAAGCACACCAGAGAAGGCTTAAGCAGGGCGGAATGGTCTTAAGTAGCCACAAGACTCTGACGTGAAAATCATGATGACGCCAAGGCTCTCTGTCAGGTCAAGTCGTGGATGCTACCCCCCACCCCCTCCCCCACTGCCAGGAGACACTTAAGGCCTCATCTCTTCTACTGTTTTGATGTGGCCTCCCTGACATCAGCTTTCAGGAAGTTCTGGGTGAGTACTATTTATTTATTGACTCATTTTAGTTCTCTCAGCCGCCTAGACACCTGGGGAGGACAGGAGAGGGTTTAGGATGTCTGACTTTTCTAACGTCTCTGATGCTTGGATGAACTTTAAAGTTTTTTAACTTTACAGTTGCTGTGTGTGTGACTTTAACTGGTGATTTCAAAAGACTCACCCCTCCTTCCCCTGCCCTTGAAACAAAGTCTCACTGGGTAGCACTAGCTGACCTGGAACTTGCTATGCAGACCAGGTTGACCTCACACTGACTGAGATCCACCTGTCTCTGCTGCTGAGTGCTGGAATGCTGGAATTAAAGGCATGCCACCATGCTCGTCCTGTGTTAAACAGGGGCGGAACCAGATCCAGGAATGACTCCATGTATTTCCATGCACTGACTAAGGGAAAGATCAGATCCCAGTGATTTTTTTTCTATTTCTTCTAGAAATAGTGGGACAATTACTCCCACCTCCAAATCGCTTATGAGTGCCCATGGACAAGAAGGATGGTGTCATGCTAAGTTACCATTCTAGAAACAAGGCTAGGTGAGGCTCTGAGGGATTCCATCAGCTTTAGGGACAGTGTCACTTGAGTCTATTGGGTAGCTACTAGCTCCCAGAGGTAACATTATTTTTCCCCTTGTACAACCCTCATTCCTTCCTTCTGTGAGAGTCTTTTGTCTTTGTATGCTTGGAGTGTGAAATGATGGTCTTCTGGGACAGGGCACCTTTTAAAAAGCACGTAGGGTTGCTGGCAGAGCAAGCATACAAGCTATGGCACTCATTGGCCAAAGGCAGTCTTCAGCATAGGCTGGTAGATAAGTATTCTGGACATAAAATCAACCCTTAAGTGAGAAGAACTCAGTGCCAAACATTACTTATATCTAGCAGTACCACTTGAAGCACACTTAACACACAGTCTAGTAGGTGACCTTGAGTTGTTTCGCTCTCTGATGCCATTTGTCCTTAGGGTCCACAGAAGTGTTTTTGACTTCTTTCTCATTCTGGATAGCCATCTTGCCAGTACCTCTGATGGGGTAGGAGATCTAAGAGGGTAAAGCACATAGCACAGTGAGTGGCATATACTGCCTCCTAAGTGGGTTTATTTCAGTCCTACAGTTGTGGGGTTCAAGTCTGTGTGCTCTAGAGAAAGGTCCTGGAAAGACAGGATTTATGTTTGGTTTCTTTCAAGGTCCCATTGTTTCAGTTCTCAGGCACTTACATCAGTCAATTTTTTATCACCGTGATAAAAAAAAAAAAAACTCAAGCTAAACTGCTTCAAAGGAGGAAGCATTTATTTTGATGCATGGTTGCAAAAGGTCAGTCTACAGTTACTTAGCCCTGTTGTTTGGGGCCTGGGGTGAAGTAGGATATCATGGTGGGGAGGACAGTAAGGAACAAAGCAGTTTACCTTACAGCAGCCAGGAAGCAGGAGACACGGGGGTTGGGGGGAGAGGCTGGTAATTCACTGTACTCTTCAAGGACACAACCATATGACCTACTTCCTCCAACTACTCCCTAAAATTTCTACCATCTCTTAACAGTACCATAAGGTGAGGACCAAGTCTTCGACACCTGAGGTGTTTGGGAAAATCTGAGATAAAAATCATTAGAGGGACCTGGATTGCTCCCAAGGAAGATGGAAATAAAGTGTTCTCTTATGCAGGTGTGAAGTTAGAATACGTGTTTTGAGACCCAAAGACCCCTTGTTTAAATGTCACATACCTGGTCAGGAGATTCGACTTTAGGGCCATTATTAGAACAGGATACTGAAAGCATCGATTGATCCTATAACAGAAATATGATACCATACCCTTTTCTTACAATGAGAAATTTGTCCTGATAAATCCATCATAAATTTAAAAAATGCATTTAGTACACTGTGCTGACTAGCTTTTGTCAATTGCACACAAGTAGGGTCTTTGGAAAGAGAGAACCTCGATTAGCAAAACTGTACCCACCAGATTGGCGTGTGGGGCACTTTCTTGATTGACGGTTGATGTGGGAGGGCCCATCTCACTGTAGGCAGTGCCACTGCTGGGCTGATGGTCCTGGGCTACGCGAGAAAGCAAACTGAGCAAACCAGTAAGCGGGATTATGCTGTGGCCTCTGCTTCAGTTCCTGCCTCCAGGTTCCTGCCTCGAGTTCCTGCCCTGATTTCCTCACTGACGAAGTGCGACCTCAGAGTTGTAAGATGAACTAAACCCTTTCCTCTCCCTCTTGCCTCTGGTCATGGCACTTTACCATAGTAACATGCTGCAGCCATAGCATTCTGCCAAACCATCAGCCCAGGAGCAGTGGAGACAAATTAACTACGGAATGAACCTCTGAAACCATAAGCCAAAATAGATCCTTCTTTTTTTGACCTGTTTTCTCAAGCTATGCAAAAATAACAGTCCTCCATTGACTATTTCTTTCAGATCAAGAAACGTGTCTCTGAGCTATACAGGATGGTAGCTGTTAGAATGTCCCACAGGAAGCCGACTTAAAGTTCTACCATCCCAGTGTAGGGAGAGAACCCAGAAACAAGCATTTCGAGCTCCAGGACATCCATGCTGACTCTAACAGATGCTCATTCAATCTACTGCATCTCCTGACTGGCTGTGTCTGCTTGTCAGTATTTAAAGGTCTTCCATGGGTTAAGGAGGAGAAAAAGAAATCTGCTTCATGCATGATGAACCAAGTGTCCATCACTGAGCAGCCTCCATGTGAGAAATCTCTTACAGGAACAGAAATATCATACTGTCTATCCCTCTGGTTCCTGGAGTAACACGAATTAGGTGAAACTTCCCTTTCTGACAGCACATCTACACTGGTTCCAACTGATTCAAAAGTCTCTCCAATACACCCTTCTTAATGTTTCTTTCCCAAATTCCTCACCATTCTCACTTGACTTGTTGCTCTGGTTGGGCTCTGGTGGCTACTGTCTGAATGTTGTCTCTCCCCTTCTAAATGGATGCAATTTAATTTTTAATGTAACTTTGGGCCTTTGCACTCATCTTGTTAAATTTCCTGTGATGGGCTATGGAGTGCGGGATGGCAAGAATGAAGGATCATGGGGGAACAGGTCTGACAGTTCAAATTTTCCATCTGCTGCTTGTGTTTATAAAGTGGGGTCTAGTGTTCAATAGTAAGAAGGAATATTTGTTGACTATTATGTGTTAAGTAAATGTTTGGCAATGACAATCTCAATCTTTTCTATGCAGTATTCTGTTGTTCAAGAAGGAACACTGTTTCTTTCAGCTTGAGTGTAACCTCATCTGTCCCTTGTAAGCCCATTAAATAGCTCTCAAAATTACTACACACACACACACACACACACACACACACACACACACACGGAAGTTAAATTGCTGAAAGTTGATCTGGGGCTGGTGAGAGGCCTTAGAGGGGAAAGTGCTGTGCACACTGACAACCTTACATGTAAAGGTCAAAGGTGAACACTGACCTTGCGACCTTCTTCCCTGCCCTTCACATGTGTGCTGTTGCATGCATGTTGTATGCGCTCGCTCATCACACACATACACAATAATAATAATAATAATTTTAAAAGCTGATCTGAAAGAAGAAAAGGAAAAGCAACTGCTTGAATTTTTATTCCTAAAATAAGGAAGAAAAATGTACTATTTGATCATGACTGGTTTCTAAATGAAAATGACCATCTACTTTTGAATGAATATCTGTCTCTGCCAGTGGGAGACTTCATATGCAATTATCTAAAATTTAGAATGGTCAGTGAAGGCCAAGAGCCACTTCTCAAATTTACAACAGGGCTTGCATCACGCAACTGCTCCCAGAAGCACCCTGAATTAGAAAACACTAGGTTTTAGAGCAGTTACTGGCATCATTGCAAAGGTTTTTGTTGTGTTGTTTATTTATTTTAGTTTTTACTTTTGAGATGGTGTCTTGCTATGTAGTAGCCCAGGCTGGTTTTCCATCTTGCTGCCTCAGGTTCCCAAGCACCAGGATTCTAGGCATATGTGTCCATGCCTGGTTACTGAACATTTCTTATTACTGTGATGTTAAGCAGAAACACACTTGTTTAAAGGAAAAACTGACTCTGTCCTGAATGAGAAACGAAGGTCAAGAGAGGGAAAATTTTTAACTAGGCTGCCTGTGCAGGCAAGGATACTCTTTTAATTTCAGAGAGCTTAAAACATCTTCTGGAGGGAATAGGAGAGTTGGCCAGTATGATGTAGATTCTCTAGCCTTTACAAATGCAAACAGAAATATAGGATGTGCATTAGATAATGGGGTTTATCATCAGTGACATTAATTTCCATTGACTACCATGCTTACATAGCTCTGTCAAAAACTTTACGTATTACTAATAGAGTGTCGGTTGCTTCCTTTGCCAGGGAGTGAAGGACACACACTGTCTCTATGCACACTGTTTTGGTGGAGCTTGGCTGCATCACCCCTGTGAGCTTGCTGGGCAGGTAAAACATACTTCTGCATTAGCTCTTTGAAAGTGGAATGGGACACAACCTCTGCCAGCTATTTTTTCTTTTCCTTTCTTTTTTTTTTTCGTGAACCATTCTATTAATACCAATCAAATCGAGAAAATGATCAAATGAAATTGCATTTTGAGCATCGTAAGCTGTGTAATGTCTATTCTGTTAAATTGGGGCCTATAATTGCTTCTGTCCTGAAAAGATACAACAAAGACAGCAATCATGGCATGTCATTATCCCAGACTAGAAAACCGGCCTTTGCAGGGAGGACTTCAAAGGCTTGTGGTTCTCAAATTGCATTTGGCTGCTATTGTTGAAGCGCAGGCAATCTTGATTAGGTGTTTACACTGAGGTAAGGCGCAGAGCAGAGAGTCTGAGTGCCTGGGTCTAGAGCCATTAAAAAATTGTACATTATGTTCCTTGCTTTGAAGTGAGGGTTTGTAGGGAGGAAAGCAACTCAGATTGAGTACAGCTGAGCTAGACTGCTCTCTGTTTCTCTCTCAAAGAAACACATCAGGTTCTTAGAGAATCAGACGGCGCTGCAGAAAGCAAGGCCAATGCTTTACCCAGAGCCGTGTGACATAGCAGATCTACATAGCACACACTGACACATGCTTCATAAACATGCTAATATTAGACTGTAGTCACTATGGCCTGTGCCCATGTTTCCCCTTACATCCTGCCATTTCTACAGCCTGTGTGTGAGCTGCCATGGGGAGCTTCATATTAACTAAGAAGCCTTTGTTACACCCATTCCTAGTGATAATGTACTGGCAACTAGCCACATAGTCAAATCAAATAAGCTGAGGTGTCAGATGTACATGTATGTGTGTGCACACATGTGTGCATGCATACGTGATGTATGCCATGGTGCACATGAGGAGGTCTTTGTTTTTCCCATTCACCATGCAGGCCCGGGGTTTCAAATTCATGTCGGCTGTGGGCAGCTTTACCTGCTGAGCCATCTTGCCAGCCCAGTGTCAGATTTTTTTAAAGATGTCTCACCATCGTTCTGCTATATCAGCTACTTACACTCGCACACAATCACTGGGTATAGTGAGGGTTTCTTTATTCATTTGGGTAATGAGTGCTAGGAAGCATTTATTACTGCTGTATTCCTGACACATTGTGTCCCCGGCTGTTCCTGTGGCCAGCGCAAGAGACTGATTGAGATTCTGTCACTGTGAGGTGGCTTCCCTGGCCCTCAGCATGGCTGCTTAAATTATCAAGGGGTTTTGTGTTTTCAGCTGTTAAAGACAGTACGGGCGACATATTAGGACTCTGTTGCCAGCCTGTCTCCATTCCTATAGAACAGCTGAGCACATGTGCCTGATGCTGAGTCCTATGGACACACACACACACACACACACACACACACACACACACACACACACACACTAATGTTCCTTTTCAGTAGAGGATTCTGGGAGTTAAGACTTCCAAAGTGATCATTGTCTCCCACTTAAAAGCACTGCTTTACTTCCCCGTGGCTCTTAACCTCCACAAGCATGCACGGCTGTACCTTGGGCTCCCAGGCACTTCTTTCTGGGATCCTGGTTCCCTTCCTAGCACCCATATTTACATGGACCATTATCTCTGGGCCTGTATGAAGGCTGTTCTCTGCGTAGAAACACACTTCACTTCGTTGTCTGCTTATTTATTCTACTGAAGATTAGACCTACAGCCGTTTGCATGGTAAAAAAGCTAGCTCCTTACCTTTAAAATATTTTTTTTTTGTTTTTGAGACAGGTTCTCATGAAGTTAACTGGGCTAGCTTTGAACTCACCATCCTCTTGCTTCAGCTTCTGGAGTAGCTGGGGTTACAGGCCTTTAGGATCGTATTTAGAGGATCAGTTTGGATATAAAAGTAACTTCCTCCATGAAGCCTTCCCTGATTCCCACAGGAGGCAGCCATAGACATACTTGGAATTTTCTCTCTCCTAACAAGCACCACCCTGTGGCTTGTGTTTCTTTCCACTTTGTCTTAGTCAGGGTTATCATTGTTGTGATGAAAACCATGATAAAAAGCAACATAGGGAGGAAAGGGTTGATTTTGCTTACACTTCCAGATAACAGTCCATCACTTGAGAGAAGTCAGGGTAGGATCCTGGAGGCAGGAGCTGATGCAGAGGCCACAATGGGGTGCTGCTTACTGGCTTGTTCCCCATGGCTTGCTCAGCCTGCTCTCTTATAGAACCTAGGACCACCAGCCCAGGGGTGACCACACCCACTATGGGCTGGGCCCTCCCCCATCAATCATTAAGAAAATGCTCAATAGCTGGATCTTTTATTTTTAATTAGTTTTTTCTTTTTGAGACATCCAACTGGATCTTA